AGAGGTGTGACAGCTCGACTGCAGCCCCCAGGCTTGGTGGCCATCCTCCCAGCCAGCCCTGCGCTGCCTCTCTCCATCATAACGACTGTCAGAGGGTTGGTGCTGCCGCCGAGACGTTGCTCCAGAAGAGGTGGCTGCAGGAGTATTTCTGGCTGTCCTACAGCCCTCACCACTCATTCCTCCTGTCACCTAGTGACAGGGCTGCATTTCTCATCTCAGCTGTCCATGTTGGCACTCTGCTGTCACGTTTTCTGCCCCTTGCTGGAGGAAGAGCTGTATCTCCAGCTCAGGAGTGGGCCTGGTCAGCTCACAGCCCCACAGCAGAGCCAGGGGGTGGCAGCCCCCCTTGGAGGGGAATTTCTTTCCCCAGCAGTCGAGTGTTTTACCCTGAGCCCAAAGCAAGAGGATTTATATTTTTAATTTGATTCAACCCTTGAGAATTAAAGCAGTACTATTCTTGGGATCTGGATCACCTCTCATTGAGTCCAAAGCCCTGGACCATGTCTGGTGGGAAGGACCAGCTGCCAAGGCCCCAGAGCACCAGCCCCTTTTGCCACCACTCCCCTCCAGCTCAACCCCTCTCTCACACACCATCCCCCAACGCCCCCCAGGACCCCTCAGCCTGGACGGGCCCCAGGGACACTGAAGACCCATGGGGGCAGCCTGTTAGCAGGGAAGGTGATGGTGATGGGTGAAACGCTCCATGAGCCTGGAGGTTTGGAAGCGTTTCTGGGCAAGAATACCGTCCCCTCCCAGGGCATCCTCACATGGAGGGGAGTTTTGAGTGATGATGATGTTGATACAACCCGGCTGGGAGCAGGGGCAGTGGAGCAGACGTGGTGCACACATTGGGGGTGCCACCTTGTGCCTGCCACCGTGCCAGGTACCAGATGCTGCGGAGGGGAGATGCTGTTTCCTTGTGGCTTGTGCCAGGGCTCAGTGTCCCGGGGTGGATCTTAGAGTCACAGAATTACTCAGGTTGGAAAAGCCCTCTAAGATCGAGTCTGACCATCAAACCAACACTACCATGAGCACTAAACCATGGCCCAAAGTGCCACGGCTACAGCTTATGAACACCCCCAGGGCTCTGGAGGAATCCAGGGTCTGGATCTTCCCCTGTCCCCGCAGAGCCAATGGCCGGCTGGCCCCACGCATTAGCCCAACCCGTCGCACCACTAATCACTTCCCGGCTAATCCCGGGGGAGCGGGGCCGGGGCGAGCAGGGCTCGGCTGCCAGCCATGGCTACGCAAAAAAAAACCCCCCTGCCCCCCACCCTGCGCCGGGGCCTGGTGGCCTTCAGCAACTCCCTCTTCATCAGCAACAAGACGCGGGACAGTGGCGCCGCCCACATCTACCACCCAGGTACGGGCAGCGGGGCCGGGGGTGGGGGCTGCCCCGAAGGGTCCCCGCCCTGCCCCCCGGGAGGGGCAGCAGAAATCGGTGGGATTGCTGCCAACGGCTGTCCTCGCTCCCCAGCCACCCCCGGTGTGGCCAGGGCCACCTCTGTCCCCTCTGGCAGCTGCCAGGCTGGGGCTCCCACTGGGCAGCCAGACCCCAGGGGTGCCGGGCACCCCTGGGCACCTGTGCCCACCCCTGCTCACTCTGCCCAGCCCACGAGGTCCTGGCCAGCCTGCCCCTCCAGATGATGCTCTACTTCAACGTCTACTACTTCCCAGTCTGGTGTCTGGCTGAGGGGATGATGCTGCAGCTGAAGGTACCACCCCAAGGGGCTTGTGGTGGTGGTGGTGGGGTGAGCCTGCTCCTGCCCACCATCCCCGGGCATTCAGGGGCACACGGGGCAGGGCAGAGAGGAGCCTCTTCAAAATCAATGGGTCCCCATACCAGAGTAAATGCCCCATCCCCCACAAGACAAGATGGCCCAAACCCAGCTCCTAGAAATGGAAACTGTGAGAACAATCACCCAACTTGTCAGCCAGAGAAGGTTAAGCTGGGAGGGCAAAGTGGGCAGGGCTGGGCACCAGCATGGGTGGGGGCTGGCAGAACATGGGGAGCAAAGAGACAGGGGGACACAGAACATGGGGAGCAAAGCAGGGGGAACTGGACATTGGACACGAGGCACTGGGAGCTGGGCATGGGGCACAGGGTGCAGAGGAGGGGTGACAGGGGATGTGCCACAGGGGATGAGGTTGTGTCCCCATTACAGTACCACCTGCTGCCTTGGTACTACCAGTTCCTGCTGGTCACTGCCTTCCTCATCCTCTCCCTGGCTGAGGGCTCACGGCTCTACCTGGGCTACGTGGGGAACCTGCAGGAGAAGGTAAGCACGACCTCTGCCCTGGCCACAAGTCCTCTGGGCTCAGCGAGGGTCAGCCTTGCCAGGGAGCTGTGGCTGTGCCAGATGTCCCTGGGTGCCCATCGCCACCTGTCCCCCCGGAGCTGTGCCAGGAGGGAACCACGGCTGCAGGCAGGACCAGGAGGATGAAAGGGACCCGCCCCACTCGCTCTGCTGCTGCACCCCTCCCTGTGCTGGGGGTGCAACGCTCCAGCGTGGGGTTCCACAGCCCCCGACCACCTCCAGAAACAGCTCCACGTGGTGGGGCCACCCTCATACCGGGTGCTGAGGCCAGCGGTGGCCAACGCACCAATGGCCTCCGTGCCCCATCTCAGCAGGCTCTGCTCCTGCAGGTGCCCGAGCTGGCCGGGTTCCTCCTGCTCTCCCTCCTGATC